GCAAAGCAAAGAAGGATGAAGGCCTTTAATAAAGAAAAAAATTACATATGCAAGGAAAGGAAGGCCTTTGAGATAGAAAAGAAAGAGATGGCCATGGTGTCAGAAGCATACATTCAAGAAAAGACAGACATACAGAGGATGAGAGATGCTTTCCAGTTGGAGAAGGAGAACATAGAAAAAGAAAGAAAAGCCTTCAAGAAAGAACTTAAGGCAAAGCAAAGAAGGAGGAAGACCTTTAATGACGAAAAAAATTACATATATGAAGAAAGGAAGGCCTTCGAGATAGAAAAGAAAGAGATGGCCATGATGAGAGAGGCCTACATTAAAGAACAGTCAGACATACAGAGAAAGAGGGAGGCTTTTCAGTCGGAGAGAGAGAACATGAAAAAAGAAAGAGAAACCTTCAACAAAGAACTTAGGGTTCAGCGTATGAAAGGAAGGCTTTTGAGCTGAAAAGTGCTATTGATTGTGACAGCGAGATGTTCATTGGTAGAAAGAAGAGAGATATGGCCATGATGAGGAAAAGGCCGTAACATTCAAAAGAAAAAGACAGGGCATTCAGAACACAAAGAGATTGCTTTCCAAGTTTGGAGAGGAGAACATAGGAAAAAGAAAGAAAGCTTCAAAGAAAAGAAACTTTAAGGGAAAAGCAAAAGAAACGGAGGAAGGCCTTTTAATAAAGAACAATTACGGGGGATATAAGTGCAGGAAAGGAAGGCCTTCCGAGATAGAAAGAAAGAGACGTGGCCATGATGAGAGAGCCTACATTAAAAGAACGTCAGACATACCAGGAATGAGGGAGGCTGTTTTCAGTCGGAGAGAGAGAACATGGAAAAAAACAGAAGTAGAAACCTTCAACAAACGAACTTTAGGGTTGCAGCGTATGAGAAGGCCTTTGAGGCTGAAAATGATGCTATGATTGATGAACAGAACGACGGAGATGCTTCATCAGGTAAAAAAGAAGAGATGCCATGTCGGAAGGCCTACCATTCCAAGAAAAGACAAGGCATTCAGAACACAAAGCGAGACTTGGCTTTCCAGTTGGAGAAAGGAGACATAGAAAAAGAAAAGAAAAGCCTTCAAAGAAAAGAATTACAGGCAAAGCAAAGCAGTAGGAACAATTAATAAAAGAAAAAAATTACAATAATATGGAGGAAAGGAAGAGGCCTTCGAGATTAGAAAAAGAAAGAGCATGCAATGATGAAGAGAGGCCTACTCTAAGAACAAGTCCAAGACATGCAGAGAATGGAGGGAGGCCTTTTTCAGTCGGAGAGGAGAAAATATTAAACAGAAAAGAAAATCCTTCAAACAAAGAAACTTTATTGGTTCTTCAATGGGAAAGAACAAATCAAAAAGGAACCAAGTCAAGGCGGTGGTTGCCGACAAGTTGCCTGGTCAAACATGGTCGGACAGTTTCGATCCTTCCAGCTTCACTCTCATTGTTTGGTGAAAGTTTGCATACAGCAGCTGCAACCCAACAAAGTAAATCAAAGGTGCCGACAAAGAAAAAACAAGTCAGTAAATCTCTCCATAGTCCTTCTACGACGGATGTAATTAGGGCCATAAATAAGAAAAAAAAACGATTAATTTTTTTGGGGGAAAATTACGAAGAATCGAAGTCAATAAAAATATTAGGTCTACGAGAAAAAAGTCGTAACATTACTGAGAATAAAGTCGTAATATATACGCAAAGAATAAAGTCATAATATTGCGTGAATTAAGTTGTAACATTACGAGAATAAAGTAGTGACATTACAAGAATAAAGTTGTGACATTACAAGAATAAAGTAGTCATTTTATGAGAACTATCAGCCTGTTGGCTCAGCCAGCAAAACTGTTGTTACCTGTTGACTGTACGGTACGACTGAGATAAAACAGCGGCTGCTGGGCTTCAAGGCTGAGGCTGCTGTTTGGTTTGCTTTTTTCTTATTAAAACGCCTTTTTTTCTTGTATTATTATTACATTATTCTCGTATTGTTACAACTTTATTCTCGTAACATTAAGACTTTTTTCTCGTAAGATTACAACTTTTTTCTTGTAAGATTACGACTTTTTTCTCGTAGACCTAATATTATGACTTTATTCTCGTAATTTCCCCCAGAAATTAATATTTTTTTCTCTTAGTCTGGCGCTAATACTCCGTCGTAGTCTTCACATGTATTCAAAAGTGATAAAAGTCTTGAGTCCAAAGAGAGAGATCATTTTCAAAACCTATTATATCATTTTTAGAAATTATTCTCTGATATACATATACATGTGCTTGTATTTAGGACTACTTGTCAGTAATTGCAAGATGTGGTATGTTTGTGTGACCAAGACCAATAAGTCAATAAAGTCAAATCTGCCTCAGTTCAACGATGTGGTGTGTAATAATGATACAATTCAACTAGAAACTGAGGCTCAACTACTTGTTGCCTTGTTTGATTTTCATGCATTTGCATAGTTTCTTTCTGTTGATTTACAATTACAGTGAAACAGTTAGGCTACAGTGGGTAGCCGTGGAAGGACAAGGTTTTGTCACTACAGTGCACTTCGACCAACATTTAAAAATGTGATAATGACCAGGTAGTTTAGCTCTGCTTGACAGTAAGGACTACTATTATGCCAACATTGCAAAGTTCATTTAAGCTGCTAAATTGAGCTTCACATCCAGGTCAGCCTCAACATATTTCATTTGCTTTGAGGGATGTAGGATCATTGTCATTGCTGAAGGACATGCAGTCAACCTTTAGTAAGGAGATACATCATTGCCATTTGGGGAGGACTTCATTCTGCCTACAAGGACTTTAAACACACACTGATCTTGTCTGTGTATTTTATAATCAGTCAGCAGTGACTTAGACAGTATGAAGCCCAGAAAAGAAACTAGCTTTGACTTCTAGCTCCACTCCTGCCCTCCCTTTGGGACACAGCACTGTAAGTTATAGCCCCCAGGGACTGTTGGGAAATTGGAAGTTTGGAAAACCTAATGGAGTGAAACACCTGTCAGTTCACAGTGTAAAATGGTCTGGTTCTTCATTTAAATATAACTTTTTCTTCCATTCATTTCATGTTAACATGTGTAAGACACATTATATTATAATACTGCATAAAAACATGTTTGTTTGGTTTTCTTTGCCCGCTACAATTCATTTCACATCACTGCTGGTTTTTAAACTCGTGGCATGCTGAATGAGGAAGAGGGCTTTTTAGATTGGGAACAACATGCGTAAGGAGATGTACGAGTTAAAAGACGAGAAAAGGACAAATGCACGTGTATAAAGAAGAAGAGGGCGACTTTCTGCAAAGACAGATGAAAAGTAGACAGTGAGAAACTAGCACAAACCACATATTTGCCAAGTCATCATCCAACCTAATCTCACTTTTGAGCCTGTAGGGATGAAAATGGCAACTGAAGCTTATAGTTAAATAGCGCAACTTCACACATCAAAATACTCAAAAATCTCTTAATAAAAAACACAAATAGTGACTAAAACTTCCAAATTCCTCCAGAATGAACTGGCAGACCATAGCAAACATTTCTTAGGCCATGAAATGAAGTCAAATCAAACATGAATGAAAAGTAAATAAACATAGGGGCCCCATTTATCTGCTACAAACTAGCTTATTAAGTACAAGCTATAGGTGGAACCCAACGGAGAACAGTGCTGGGTGCACATAAAGGTCATTTTAAACTTCTCACACAGAAACACCTGGAGGTCACACAAACATAATAATGCATTTGAACATATTCATGCACGCATATATGCGCACACGTACACACAGACTGATGGCACCGCATGTGACCTTTGGAGCACTCTTTCATTAAACTCAGCAAGGGGGATGGTGAGAGGAGAGAGAGAGAGATCTAATTTGAGGACATGAGAGGAAACAAGGAAGTTGAGAAGGGACCTTTATGTGTGTGTAATTGGTCTATGGAGGAATTACCAACATGCGCACCACAGGTGGCTACAGGCCCTGCCTAAATAGCTAACCTTATAAAAGTCATTAAGGCCTCTGAGACATGCACGTGTGTGTGTGAGAGAGAGATAGAGAAAGAGAGAGAGAGAGCAGGTGTGCATATAGAAGGATTTGTGTGCTGCTCTGGGACTAGAAATAAAATGTTGCTTTCACTTCTCCAGCTCATCCACAGCATAGTACACATTTATGTGTGAACGTATGTGTGTTCACCATATGTAATAGTGATTGACTGTGAATAGCAGGTCTTACGAGGGACACATTCAGTGATTCTTATAACAAACACTCTCTATTTACAATGCCAGCAAAATGATCAGGTGGCCAGAGCCAGAACAGAGAATTAATTTCCAATATGGGTGATTAACCAGGGAGAGCTACCTGATCTGGTGACAGTCAATAAACCTGTCATTGATCAAATATCAGCACTTCTTTGTTTCACTATAAAAATGATTTAATAGTTAGTTTTTCCTGGCAAATGTAGAATGAAAAAGAAATACATTAGAGTTTTTTTCTGTGTTGAGTACAACCCTATAATCAGGACTTGCTAACTTTGTTAAAGCAATATTAATTGATTTGTTTTTGGCCATATGGGGGCAGCTGAACAAGCTGAAAACTGATATGATTGATATGTTATGACCTTATTATGTTTATATGGTGCACATTAGTAAAAATGTCCATATATACACATCCAGCAGACACAGAGCTCTCTTTTTTTTCTATTTTTGGTCCACTATCTCCTGCTGGGAAAATCTGGCTATCTACTTTGTTCACCAGGTAGTTGATAACCTATTTGTCTGCCATTCGGTGCTGAGCAGGTAGTGTTCAGTGAGTTTACCAGCACTTTTTCACTGAAACAGCCTCCTGCTGCAGGTGGAAATGGGCTGATGAACCAAAACACTAATGTTGCGGGATGTTAAACCAAAACAATTAGCTCAAAGACAGTAAAACGGTACCATAGAAATGAGGGGAACCAGTGAAAGTCACATTTGACATGCATGCAACGCTTACAGATACTTTATGATGATGCAACTAGCTGGACGCACCTTCTTCTGCAGGACATTAACCTTCCTCTCCTTGACATCCAGCATGTCCTTCATGTCTCTGATCTCTCCTGTCAGTGTGCTCTTTTCTTCCGTCAGGTCCTGCAGCTGCTTTGTTTTCTTGGTCAAGAACTGCTCCTTCTCCTCCAGTCGCACCCGCAGAGCATCTACCTAGAAAAGACCAAGACAAGAAGTTAAGCGCAGGTAAGCAGCAACAGTCAGACCAATAGGGAGTTTGATCGACATATAGTCAGAAAGATTGCAAGGGAGAGTTAGAGTGGGTGATCTAACTGAATTTTCATAGAGTGAGAACAGACAGATGGACAAGAAAGTATATAGCTTGAAAGTAATCTGTAATAGACTGTAATAGGCCGACAGTTTGAGGTGAAAACAGACCAGAATGAAGGACAGACACAGAAAAACTGAAACACTTGTAAAAATACAAAGAAATACACAAAAATGATTACGAAATCTTACACCAGGAATTTTTTTTCTAGTCCTCAGTCAGGTGGCCCATATGTTATTATTCAGCACTGGAACTGACATGTCTCAACACATTTACTTGTTGACATTTGGAAGTAGTAAAAGTTCAGCTTTGACCTACTGTCCATAATATGAACCACTGTGGACTGATGCAGTAAAAGTGTGTGTGAGAGAGAAGGAGCCTGGAGCCTGTCCCATAATTTGTTATTGAGAGTGCTGCATGATTGGGCCAGCGCTGCCATAGATCAGACTGCTCACACACTTCACACTCACACATTAAAATCCTCCATATCTGGCTGTGTGTAATGAGATGAGTGATATCTGAGCTCACTCCAGAAGTTCTTATTGGACAAATATCAGTATTCTGCTGCACCGCCTACAATGACACACACACAGGCGCACACACACACACACAATACACATGCACACTCTCAGGTGGCTGCCATGAACTGACTATGTGCTCCTCTGTTCCTCTTCAACACCTGATTACATTTCCAGCTTTTTTTGCCATGGCGCAATGAGTGAACCCATTTGAACTTAATTTTAAGGTGTGCATGTGTGTTTT